ACCAATTTTAAACGAATATTCTTGCCTAAAGTTTTTCTGAAATTTAATTTTTTTTTTTTTTCGAAAAAATGATGAAAGCTGACTATATAACAATTATTTTTAAAAAAAAAACTAAATATTAATCATCCGTCGAATAACTACTATTGAGATTGCTACAGAACAAATAAAGATTTAAAAAAATAATTACTGTTTTTCATGCCAATTCATAGCATCAGAAAATCACGTAATTGTATTACATATTATTATAAAGAAGGGTTCTAGAAGCGATAAAAAACGCCCGTTAAAATTAAACCTCTTCCCTGTAAATTGTTAGTCTCTGTTACATCCCCTACCCACTTGTATCGAGAAACTCAATAGCCTGTGTTTGTATGTATTTGTGTATGCATGTGCGCATTTCGCATGGCTTGACAAACGCAGTGTGTTTTTAAGTGTTGACAAATAACAATTTTAATAATAATAATAATAATAACTTTAATAACTATAACTATTATTATGATTATTATTATAGTAGAATAATAATAATAATAATAATTGTCATAATAATAACAATAACAACATTAGTTTTAAAACTCTTTTGTGTAATGAAACGTTATCGATCATAATACGGTTCGACGTTACTATTATTCATCAGTGGCAATACGATTGTTTCCGAAATGTCGCGTACAGGTACGGAGAAATGGTCGTCGCTGCGGTACAGTGTTCGTCGATTATTATTCACCACGTCACCGGTGACCCACGCGACTACTGTACAGTTTTCGCGAGATACCTACGTGTCAATAATGTAATGTCTGATACGAAACGGTCGGAATGTTCGCTTTTCCGTTATTTCCCGTGTACGATCACCGGTATAATATGTTCCGATCGCAGTACGGTCCGTTCTTGCGGACATTCATCCTATCCCGTCTAAAGATTTAAAAAATTCTAAACGTGTTTTAACTGCAACAATATCGACGTTCGATAGGCGACTACTATAATTTACACGTATCAACCAAATTTAGCTGCACCAGTCGATTTCGTCTTCCTAACGTTTGTGTGCTTATGGTTAGTGTTCATCGACGTATTTCGACCATTGCTATCCGATAAACTCATTATTATCTGAACCTCAAATCGTGTTCTTCCCCTTTGAACATAGCCATCGACATTCGGTTGTACGTCCGCACATACAAATGTAATACTAATTACACTATTGCTCTGCCGTGGCTACAATATGGAATGTGTGCAATAAAATACGTACGTAATATTTAAAATATTTATTTATATGAAAGATTATGGTATTATTATGTTAAAGTGTACAATTTTATAAATAAGCTATATGTATGTAAAATTAATGTGGCAGTCGTGATTTACCCGCAAGCATAACGATTATAATTTCCTGGAACCAAAACGTATTTTTTCCATATTATTATGTTTTTATAGACGCCGAGTGGTTACAAACATTTACAGATTATGTAGTTACATGTATTTTATGTTTTTTAACGAAGACTGTAATATTTACAGGGTATCCAAAGAAAATACACTAATTGAAATATCTTCCATGTTCATAATGATAAGAAATATTATTCATAAAAGTATTCACGTTCAGTATAGTTTTGTTTGTGATTTTCTAATTTAATAAAATATGATTGAGGCGGTCCATCTGCGAGTTTGAAAATATTATTATTAATATCATTATGGATAAATATTCTTGACAAATAATAAAACTACTCTATGTAATATTTACTGTACGGCTGTACGTGAATAATTTATAATGCACACCATTATCATCCTCAGTTTTGATAAATGATTAAATCCGTTAGGTAGCATGAATTTAATCAACTAAAAAATTGTTCAGTTGTTTCAAGTTTAACAAATAATTATATTTATTGGCTGGTTTGAATTAAAAAAAAAATGTAAAATTCAATCATCTGGTACGAATAATTATTCAATTAGTCGGTATCGTGGAAACAAAATCAACAAATTGTGTTTTCATCAACAATCTTAACGAACGAATATATTTATTCACTAATATTGGCACGTTAAGAGATATCTGACCTCGACTTGCTATATAATATTGTCTTATAGTATTTAATAGTAACTTTTAAGTTTCTTTTTGTATTTCATGTGATTCGACTCTTACTCCGCTGTAATTATATCAGTTTAATATACAACGAGTATTTATCTAATCGCACGAAAAGCAATATCAAGTGTTGTGAAAATGAAAAGTCAGCTAGAAGAGTTTTACAGTTCGGAGATTTCTTGTCCAGATAACAAGACCGTCAACCATCGTAGGTCCAGTTTGAAGAAATCTTTTTTGAAACTGCCTCGATGGATTTACGGTAAAATAAAACCGAAGAAAAAACCAAACACCCGACGAAGAATTCAAGGTCAGAACAATCATAATGAAACAAAACGTTCTTAGATTTTTTGAATGATTTATAACCAGAGTATATTTTGAATGTATCTATAAAGATCGACGGTGAAAATGATTTGGCCGCAACGACGGGAGAAGTGTCAAAAAAAACATACTCCCAGGAAGAACAGCTGCGGTGATGGCGATCTGGACACTGCCGGTAATATATGATATACGTTTTACGTAACACGAACTAGTTATTTTGACGGTTTCTATTACGTATTCGACTTTACCCTGAACTATTATAACAACGAAAATATGAGATATAATAATCGCATGAAACCAACGGTTAATATTGTTTTCCGTCCATTTAAAATCTAATGTAGGAGAAGAAACAAACATTATTGGCGATACCGGAACGAAGGCCGAACTAGATGCGCACCACATGGCTTTGGATAACACCATCATAGGTAGAATACGATAAAACTTTAACAGTTAAACTTTCAATTTTGGTTATTTTTTATGTTTTAATAACAATTTAACGACGGTGGTTAGTTGTGACCAAGCTTTATAAGGCTAATATTCATATGGCGAAAGAATTAGCGTTAATGAAAGAAGGACAGTGCTTATTCGAACAAAAAAATACAAGCCATTCATGGTAAAGAAGATAATAATTATATAACTATATTAAATTAATGAACAAAATGTTTGCGATAATTTCCATACAAATATGCAGATTTTTACTCGGTGGAAATAACAAACAAAGATGCCAATTATAACCAGGTAGTGAAAGAGTTGAAAAGTTTAAAGGAAAAAGTTATGAAAATCACGAGATCCGGTGTACAATGTAATTATATAAAAGAAAAATATACGTACAAAGAACAACGAGGAATACTATATTCTTATCTATGTTTATAGTTGTCGAACCTGAGGACGATAGCAAAATGTACTTGGTCAATGAATTGGATCGTATACAGGAAAAAAATTGTATTATGGAACAAAAGTTGTCAGAAATTAGCAGTACGGTTTTATTATTAAATTAAAATGTTGATAAAATAAAAACTTATAATATTTTCCTGGCACATATTATACAGGTTTTCTATTGCAATCCATGAACAATTATAAAAGCGACTACAACAGATTTGAGGAACAATTAAAAACTTGTATGCAATTGAGTGTTAAAAATTCGACAGACAAAGTTAATTGTAATTAAATTCACCATAGTCATATTGTTTACTCAATTAAAATAAAATATAATACAAACTTATACGGTTTAGCTATTGTAGACTTGAATGATAAGATCGAGAAGCTACAGAAAACGGTGGACGAATTATTAGTTGAAAAAAATGCGTTAGTCAAAGCAAACAGTAGTTTATCATTAATGGCTGCAGCAGAGATCAACAGCTTGAAGACGAAAATAGCTATGGTTCAGCGCAAATGTATTTTCATCGAATTATATACATTTTTTTTTTCTCTATTAAATTTGAAGTATAAAAACAAAATACACCCGAATCTAGGTAATGGATCAAATAAGGCGAAAAAAAAACAATACCAAGACTAATATTAAAAACAAGAAAAATTATATGAAGAAAAATATCAATGACATAAAAAGGATTTTACAAAATTCAGAAAGTAACGTTTAATTTATTTTCTATATCTAAGACAATAATAATTACTTAACACATATTATATTGTTCATAGTACGTCTAGAACGTAGAGATTTAAAGAACGAGAGAACTGATCATTACAATCGAAAATATGATAAACTGAAAATGCGACTCTGCATGATTGAAAGTTAGAACCGATATATATATATATATATTAAATCGGTTATATTATAAATAACCTTGAATTGCATTTCTACTTTAATTATTATAAATAATTCGCAGAAGAAATGATACATCGATCGGAACAGTCCATGCAGAACATGGTAATGATGTCAACTGCGTGTTTGAGAAGAGGAAATGATCAACAAACGTCAAACATTGTTTACGATACAAAAGTTCAACCAGCATCTTTTTCACCACGAGCACAAGAAACTGCATCTCATTCGAGATCACCATCAATCACTCCAGGGCCTCCGCCTCCACCTCCATTTACACCTCCGTCACCACCTCCACTTACACCTCCCCCACCACCTCCACCAATAGCAAAATTACCTCAAACGAAACAATATCAACAATATGTAATAAATGATGATTTATTAAAAGACATGTATAAGCAGCTGAGAAAACCTGGTAGTGAAATTAGGAAAATACCAAAGCGTACAGATATGAAAATTAATTGTTCAGCCACAACAATCTCTGAACAAACGAGTACTCCATCGGAACCAGCATTACCAGTGACTCAAGATCCTCAAATTGCAACAAATTCTACCCGACTGGAGCCTGTATTATCGCAATCAACAGAAGAAACTCTATTAACTCCTCCATCGCCACACGCACCTGAAGTACCACCAGCTTTTCCGTTATCAGAAGAAATTCCAAAACTTCAAACTACTCCGTCGTCAGAATTATGTGAATTACCATTATCTTCTCTATTTCCGTAAGCACTTGAAGAACTCTGTTAGGAACAACCTGAGCCGTTTAAATTAGGCCTTTACGCGTCTCCCATACCATTCCAATAGCCCTAGTCTACAAACTCTATTTCTAGTGACTTGTTCATATCTAATTTATCCAGCTTTTGGAGCGTGTAGATCAGGCATGTGAAACATATTAATAATTCTTTTGGGCGATGTTTGGTATCTCTTTTCCTTCACCAACTTCTCAATTTTGGGAGAAATATTATTGAATGAAGCCACTTTTAAAACTGAATTTAGATGTATGTTAGTTAATCTGGATCTTATGGATGATTTATTGCTATTCATCAATGAGAATTGTTACTCACATAGATAAGTACTACTAAACATAGACTTAATTTTACACGCAAATCTACGATTTTCTACATATCTTACTGGCCAAAAGGTGTAAAAATTCATTAAACCAACCTCATTGAATGTACGTTTTGAATTTGAATCATTTTGAATCTCGATATGATCCATTTGTATATGTGCTGCAATTTTTACTATTTCTATTGAAAAAGGAAACGTGAACAATTCAAAATCGTTTTATAAATATTTGAAATTTTCAAATCTATTTTCGAATTCAGTCTTCAATCATATAATTTGTCTTGAGTATATTTTGTAGAAAATTGGTTAATTATAACTTGTTTTACACGTCATGCATGTTGGGAAATGCGTTAAATTTTCATTCTGTAATTGTATTTTCCATAAATCTAATTTACATTTGAAAGCATTAATATGGTCGTTAATAGCTCTTATAATTTGATCTTTCCCTTGTAGTTTTAAATTTAAATTTGATAAGTGCATTGGATCCGACAAAGTGCTAACGTCTTGTTCTTTAGACACTAAAAATATTTGTATTGCATCTTTTATCTTCCAGAATCGTTCTAATATGGTGGAGCGTGATAACCATCGCACTTCTGTTAAGTACGGTAAACCTGAATACTCGCTTTCTAAATCGTTTAAAAAACTTGAAAATTGTCTTTGGTTTAAATCACGAGAAATAATCTTATAAAATTAACCATTTGTTTTAGAGGTTTCATTTCATGTGCCATATTAATAACTTTTGTGCATAACACCCCTTGATGTATAATACAATATGTCCTATGAAATGTATCTTCAAAATTTTCATTCACTTTTTTTCGTAACCTTTCAATGAAACCTTTATTTTTTCCCATCATAGAAGGAGCTCCATCTGTAGTCACAGACGATAACTTTACCAGAGGTAATTCATATTTTTTTAAGAGTTCATGAACAGAAACAAATAACTCTTCAAAAAAATTTATTTCCATAAGGGAAGCACAAAAGAACATAGCTAACTGAGCTGTTATCGGTACCTTTTCATCACATGCGATTGAAAAATACTCGAAACTAGATATTTTGATTTTTATCTGATCACTCAAACTGTATGCTAATTCAGTTATTTATTCAGCAACCGTATTTCGTGTTAATGAAATGTTTGGAAATGCTTTTAGATTTCCGGGACAAATGATTTCAGCCATTTTAATCAAACATGTTTTTATAAAATCACCTTCGGTGAATGGTTTCGAATGTTTGGCAATTAACTCTGACAACACATAACTAACCTTTACTGTAGCTTCATTTTCTTGTGGTATTTCAGTGAACATTAATTGTTGGTGTTTTTATCCTGATTAAAGTTCTTTCAGTTTTTCTTGTCTTAATAACCCTTCATAGTGATCGTATTTTGACTTATGTTGTTCGTAATATTGCTTAATATTGTACAACTTTAGAACACTAATAACACTTAAGCAAATAATTTTATTATTGATTTCACTGCAAAAATATTGTAATTCCCAACGATGTTCATCGGTAATTTTACGTTTATTACTACTACTTGGTTTTGATACAGACATTTTTAAAATTTAAATTTGTTGTAAAATATACACTACAAAATTTAAACTCGAATACACGCTAGTTGTCGAACGATTAGTTTCCAAAAACACGCGTGTTGCGTACCGACGATATAAATTATTAATCTATATTCTATAATCTATATATATTTATTACATATTTGTACATATGAAACCATCAATTACACTAATTATTCGATTAGATTAACGTTTTATCAGAAGATAAAACGTAATAATGTATACCAAAATATATACCATTCTCAAAGAATCTAAGTAAGTTGAAACACAAGATTAATATTTTAAATTTTTTATTTTTTCCATTAATATTACTAGCCGAGGGCCACAAAAAAATAAGTCACGGGTTGCGTGTTTGACATGCCTAGTGTAGATCGTCAATTATCTGTGATTCATGTTTTAGTCAGTTATATTACATTAGTTTTAGCAACATAATTTCGAAAATAAATTATAATATTTATAATTTTTTTGCTCAAAATATTTGCATTAATATTTGCTATGGAATTTGTATGATAAAAATTAGAATTTATACGAGTTTGTTTTAAAAGAAATTTGAAAAATAGTGGGGGTAAAGTACATTTAATGGATTCGTAATTAAGTAATTCAATACAGGAAATACGAGACGCAACTGCGATGTACACACTGGATGTATTACATGCTGATCGTACAACCTGCAGCGGGTTTAACCATGTTACATTATGAAAAATATTAATTTATTTCAAGCAAAAATAAAAAAGAACGTTCGATAAATTAGTTACTAAATTTGTACTAATAAAGTTACTATTATTCGAATTAATGATTCACGTCTGAAAACATGAGATGATATGTATATTTTAACTTACCAAGTCAAACAAAATACGTCTCAACATCAAGATATTTTCTCTTGTAAAAACAACAACAAAACAAAAACAAATGAGGCTTTTTGGATATCATGGTTTTGTGTCTTTTTCCACTGAAAAGGTTACCGACCACTAGTGTAAAAACTATTATAATATTTTGTAAAAGATTTTCTAAAAACGTGACTCTGTGGTGTACTAAAATACAATTGGCGTATATTATTGCCGTACAGGACAGGTTTATAACTATGTTTTATCGTGGAAATATATAATTTTCTAGTAAATTTTAATTTTAATTTCTCTCCGTCGTCTTAATAACTATTATATATTTTGTACGGTGTGCACATAACAAAGTGTGATATGAAAATACATTTAAAAAAAACATTAACTGAAAATAAGTTTTAATATTAAAATTATATCGATTAAGTGTAATAATAGACTGTGAGGGTGTGCTCTACAACGCGATGTTGTATAGGTATAATACCAATCGCAATATTTTAAGTATTACCACTCTGCAGAACGTGATCAGCAAACGGCCGATGGCTCTTAATTTTTGTAAGTGCTGTTTGCTGAATTAAGTATAATGAACGCTGTCGTTGTTCTTCAATACTTGTAGAGATATATGTATGTACTGGGAAAGGGTCGATGAGCCGACAATCAATAGACCTACAGTACGTGGGATACAACAACCAGTAGGCTAACATAACAATATAATATTTCTAATATTCTAATTCAATCTAATATTTACATTAATAATTGTACCCTAAATCACATAGGATACCAATAAAATTATGTTTCATTATTATTAATACATTTATAACTGCTTTAAATTGTATACGTATTTTCAATTTGTGCCTTTAAAAATTTTTAGTATACTTATAATTATTGTTTATCTTTTGATAAGCTGTAATTCATACGGTTTAGTGTGTATGTATTATTCGGCCCACTGTGTGCCGACGTAATGTTGTGATACCGTACGTATTATATATTTTCTGGTTATAGATGCAACTTTTTGTAACGACTGCCATTGGGTTTTAGCGGGGGCCAGAACACGATTAAATAATAATATAGTCAGTACAGTGTTGTTATAAAAAAAAATATAAAAAAAACAACAATAATAGTAATATCAACGCGTAAACCCTTTTGATTTTCTGAATAAAATAATTAATAACACAATATGCGCAGCAGAGTGCGGTTTGAAAGGGGTAAGAGAAATACATTGCCCTACTCTCACAAAAGACATGGATATGTACAAGGTAAACCGGAATGGTCCATGTTCCCATTAACTCATTGATACAGATATTGTGTTTGTTTATCAGGTAGAAAAGCGTTGGCAGTTTGAAACAAGGGACAAAATATGTCGCTCATTACCGGAGTTTGTCATTGTCATTATTATTATGGTTTAGGTTGATACGGAGTGTCAGGGTTGACGTTCCGAATCGTAAAATAATTAAAACGCTCGGATTTTTAGGAATTCACGTTCTTATATTTTGATATAAAACTTAGATATATATGTATACACTTATAATATGAAAAGACGAGTAAAGCGTCGGCTTGCTCCGATCAGACTTGTAAAAGTGAGTCGGAGTAGTAGGTGGTGCTTGGGTAGTTGGTCGGACCCTAACGTTACATTATGGGATTATCATAGATATACGTTCATATAAGTAATGTGTGGATAGGAATTAACCGTCACCGGTCCAAGCTTGATTAAGCGGTACTCCGGTGGTGAATCAAATCCGGGAAGGACAACTCAATTAAGTGCCTTGTGATTTGTCAGAGCTGAAAAGTGCTATTTTAGATACGGCGGATTGTGGACCGAATAGTGGTCTGACTGCGGAGGTTTCTTGGCTGGTAGGCGAAGTTCCCGGATTGCAATTATTCGTACATCATACGGTCTTCGATGGCTGGGCTTCCTGCTTGTCTGTTTGCTCGGAAAAACAATCCTCCGGAATCTGGTCTCGTCGGTCGTGAATTTGGTTCGCCGCCGCACCGAAAGGCTACGTACGTATCCGTGGATACGCAGGCCTTGATTACCCGTCGAGGACGTTCGCTAAATATTAAGATTTAGTAACCGACTAATCCTGAACGGTGTCAATCCAGGACACGGCGCTACGTAGGATACCGTATATGCAATTCATATACACGAACATTCGCAACGGCAGTCCATGCCTGGTCTCAGCAATTGACATGGAATCGGCGAGTGTGGTCGATTGACACGATTGTCCGTCACGGCTATAGTTTGATTTCATAACGGTAGAGCTCGTCGATGCTAGGCTGCAATTTTGATTCCGGTCTCTTGATTGGTCCTTTTGAATGGTTCTAAGATCGTCGCGGTGGTAAGTCATTTTTGGTGTTCTTCCTTTTCAATATTCAATTCAGTCTTGTCGTAGAATGTAATTGAGGTGTTGAGAATAGATATAGAAATGGAAGAAGTTGTTTCTTAATAGGTATCGGAATGCCGGTATATAACCACACTGCCGTACCAACTAATAAACTTTTCGTGTATTCTAGTTTTAACCTGTGTCTGGTTGCGTTAAGTTTCTATTGATAACTTCTCTTCCCTTGTTCTGATTACGTCGTGGGTGATGTCTATAAATAGGTATTTTCATCTCCTATCCGATGATTCTACCCTCGATTTTGTCACTTCTCGACTTTGTCCTTCTTTTCCTTCTTTCCTCTCTTACAGACTCCCATATCTTCCGTCTTCTGTTGGTGACAGTGTTTTATTTTCTCGGTGAATTTGGTAATATCTTCGGATAGGTATTTTCTTCCCCTATCCATTGATGCCACCCTCGTTGTTTTGGTTTTTGTTTAAGTTATTTTTCCGTGTTTATTTAATGACGGCCTCTGATTGGTCGTTACTGGTTTGTGTTACTTATTGGTCCTGAGAAGGACCTTTTAAATCATGTACGTGTACTGAATGTTCCGTAACATGGTTTAACGAAAGGGTTTCTATTATTTTTTCAACAATTAAGATCGTAAAAACAAATAAAATAAAAATACCTTTTGATGTAAAACTAGTACGCGTAACAATAACGTTTTAACCGAGTTCTGTTTATCCCAATACTCTACGTCTTGTGTGCGCGCATGACGAACCACCTTTAGTATTATGTTTTTCAGGCAAATAAAACGGTTAAGTTCTCAACGTTATAATTTACGGTTTAAACGTGATACAATTAGATAGACTCTTAGTTACAAAAATATAACACAAGTGACAAGTCATAAATCAACAAAAAAAATATTGAAACACTTTCAACGGACATGTTACAATGGTTTTAATTTTAAAATTAAAAAACATTTACGATGAATACGAAACCAAATTTTAACCAGACGTACTAGTATTTTTATTATGTGTATACAAATATATGAGCATAGTTCGTATTCATTGATTATTTTATTGATTAATTTGTTGAAAAGTAATAGATAATTTTTATTCAAATTAACAATACATTTGATTTTAATGTATTGGAAAAATTCCCAAAATATCGTGACATAATAACAAATTTATTCAATAGGATCTATTAACATATAACATTAAGTTAGTATACTTATACAACGCTTCTATAATCATAATGTATATTTACACTTGAAAAAATGTAAAATTATATCGAACCTGAATAAAATTAATAAAAATCTAATTAATTTATATATATATATATAAATATTATAGGTACTTTGTGATAAACATGTATGTGCCGTATCTCTATAGCGTTAAATTACATTTCATGAACATTGTTTTGTTTTAAAAAAAAATAATTGATTAAATGATAAATGTGCATAATAATTGTTCAAAGATTTTAGATGGAATGGAAATTTGTAATAAATGGATTAACATTTTTTCATTAAAGAACTCGACGGTTACAGTGTCTTGATAGCTTTTAGTCAGTGAAAGGTTTATTAGCTTTT